CTGATGTGCTGTCATTTTTTTTTTACCTTTGTCTTTGCACTCAGTCTAACCAATCGAAAATAATTTGACCAATGATTGGCCTGTATGATGTCACGTGGCTGTATTTTCAACTAGAGCAAACCAGTCTTATCAATGGTGTGTGAATAAGAAATAAAACTGCAGACGATTACAACAACGTATTAGTTGTTCCTCTTGGTCTGGTCCAAATTTATCAAACTACACGTGTGAAAGCACCTTTAGAAAATTTGGTTCTAGTCCTGTCAGCCTTCACACTGTAAATATTGAACCTGTAGGTACTGGACCTAAATGCAAAATGATCCCCAAGTATCTTGCAATAGAACTTCTAAACAACAGAGCTTCCAAAGAAGTCCTAAAATGTTGTGCAAACATGAAACACTGCTGCTGTTCTGCAGTTTACTTCCACGTGTAGTATCACAGCAGTCGCACCATGTGAACGTACATATGGTTTCTGTCCGTTTTGCTTCTTTAGCATGCAAGGTATGGCCCAAGAACCATTTTTAGATCCACCTGTTTAATATGTGCTAGGATTCAGGAGGATTCAGATGGCAGCCTTTGTAGCTTTTCAAACTAAAACCCCTCTAGCTGAGCAACCAAGTTTATATTAAACCAAACAAAAAAGTGAACCCTAAACAAAGCACTTCTTTGTTTCTTTGCAGATGTAGTCATCACCATGAGTGTGAAGGCTTTTGAGCTGGTTCCCGCTGTGGAGCGGGATCAGGTGATGGGTGAAAAGGTGCGGATCAACATAGAATGCATTGAGTGCTGTGGCAAACACCTGTATCTGGGCACCAATGACTGCTTCATCCATCACTTCCTCCTGGAGGAGCTCACCACACCCAGAGGAAGGCTGGCTTACAGTGCCCAGAAGCTTCTCCACAAGTACCTGGGCCTGAAGAAACCGGTGATGGAGCTGAAAGCTGCATCTGCTATCGAGCGTTTGATAGTTCTCTGTGACTCCTCCATAACTGTTGTAGACATGGTTACTTTGGAGGCTGTTCCCACTGGGGGCACCAAGCTTAAAGGCGTGACTGCTTTCTGTATAAATGAGAATCCAGTGACTGGTGATGCATTCTGTGTGGAGATGGCGGTGGTTCTGGCTCGTAGACGGACGGTCCAAATTTGTTCCGTCCACGAAGACCGGGTGCAGTTGTTAAAGGAAGTGAGCACACCAGAGCAACCCTGCGCGCTCAGCCTGGATGGATATAACATGTGTCTAGCTCTGTCCTCTCAGTACATGATCCTGAACTATAGCACAGGAGCCTCTCAGGACCTTTTCCCCTTTGACTGTGAAGAGAGGAAGCCCATTGTGAAGAGGATCGGCCGCGAAGAGTTTCTTCTAGCAGCACCTGGTGGTCTAGGTGAGGAAATATTTTTTTGCTTGGTTGTATTTGGAGAAATTGCATGAAGGTTATAGGAACAGATGTTCCTTTAACATACACTGGTTTAAACAGCATTTAAAGGATATTTTGGATGCTGAGCAGGTGCTAAGCAGAGATGTTAGGATCTGCTTAATAACAACAGAAAAAAATAGGTGCTTTCCGACGAATGTTTGCTGGCAAATCAAACATCGGTAATGAACATGTACATCAATGAGCCGGTTATGCTCAGTAAACAGGTCTCTGTCTTCTCGTATTCATCAGCCAGATGGTTCTGAAGGATCAGCAAATGCATCACTCATGTTAGTTTTAAAAACTAATATAATCGTACAAACATGATGAAGTGGTATTTAAATTTTAAATTATGTTGTGTAACGTCAATGTTATTTAGAGGTTTATGACACATTCTCTCAGGTTCTAGAATCAACACCGTCGCTGTCGCGATTCTCTTGATTGGCAGAGCAAGCGTGATGTAGATGAGCGCTGATTGGAGAGAGTCGTCATTGCTTACATCATTGTACCATACACAAACACAGCAATACACGCAGTGCAGACTTCTTTTTAGCGGCTCACAACCTCTCACCAAATAACTCCTTGTGGAAAGCTGCGTAAAACCCCCAAATTTTTTTATGTTTCTGTTTTTGGACAATTTATTACAGTTTTGTTTATCAAGCTGTTCGTACGACTGTGTACAGTATGATATTAACTTAAGTTGAGGTTAGTTAATCTTAATTTATTTAATGTTGTCTGTTTTAAAGACAATTTTACTACAGTTTTGTTATTTCAATTTGACATGTTTTGTTGTGCATTTCTTGTGCACTTACATTAGAATTTAGGTATTATGGAGCTTGTTTGAAAAAGCTAAAACAGTTAAAAAAAAGCTAAAAAATCGCAATATGATTATTTGGTCCATATTGCACAGCCCTATTACTAATCTTTTTATAAAAAACTAAATTACTCAAATGTTTTTGTCTCTGGTTACGTTGACGGCTATCTTACTCCTTTGTTTTGAAGGGTGGGTCCAGTGACTTCCCTGGAATACAGCTCTCCATTTTAGCCTTATTTCAAAAAAAGAATTTTGGAAACCTACTAAAAAATGGATGTATTGGTCTAAGGGGTGTAAATAAGGGATAGAAATTGAAACAGCTTTAACACTTCAGTTAATTAAAATAATGCTACAGATGGCAATTTTTATAGTTCAACCCCTAGAAATGCCTCTAAGCCTCTAAGTTACTCAACATTGATTATATTTTTTGCTTAAAGAAAAAGAAGGTTTTGAATCTGAAGGTTATGGGCATCTGATTCTGGTTATGAATTCATCACGCGGCTAATTCAGGTTTCTCTGTGACTCTGTAATGGAGGGTAACTGTGCTCTGAACTTATTTGTCCCCTCATCAGTGGCAATATGTATGGCTTGAAATGAACATAATACACTATTTTGCTGGGTCATTGCTGGGTCAGTCTTAAACACACAGACTGATTCAAACAGAACTTGAAACAGAGTAAAGGCCTCGACTCATCGATCAGAATTTACACGCTACGACGCACCTCGATATTAAAGCATGGACACCAACGGCAACTCACACATCGGACCTAAATGAGTGGTGCCAACAGTTTCGGAGTGACATATCGTATTTGTTTTTCGTAAAGAGAAGACCAATGAATGCTGGCTCTTTTGATTCATGTGAAGCGAAGGCAAAAGTGGCGCTCATCTCACATTTTCATAGCGAGATTATACAGGAAAGAAATAGCTCACCACAAATCCTCCTTTTTTTTCTCCATGTTTTTGAAAAACCGCTCCCTGTGATCAGCCACCGACACAAGAAACCACTCGACATCCAGGATTTTTTTCTATATGTTCTTTGAATTCTTTCTGTCGTTGTCTTCTGGCTGTTCTTCTTTCCTATTTCCCTGTTTGGTGCGTTGAGCATCTGTTGTAGTGCAAACGCCATCATCAGGCAGGCAGTGTCATTGCATCAATATTTTTTTGATGCAAACGAAGAGCACCCTGCTGAGAAGACATTAGGATATTTGTGCGAATCTTATATTTGGACCGGTGGGTAGAGGGCGAGGCCTTAATTCAAATAAATATACTACAATCGAAAGCTTGGGGTCACCTTGAATTTTCCTTATTTAATTTACCCCGGAACGACCACGTTCCAATCTGCTCTCTGATTGGAAGTTTTGCATATGCGTATAAACTAAACAAACCTTCATACACAGAAACTCTGCCCACTGGTGGATATCCCATCATACAGACTGCAATTGGAGAAGCATATTCCAGGTGATGAGGCACGCATCTCTCTGTCTTCTTCTCTCAGGGATGTTTGCTAATGCCGAGGGCATGTCCCAGCGGGCTCCGGTGAGCTGGTCAGAGAGCGTGATGGCAGCGGCTGTGTGCTTCCCATATGTTCTCGCTCTGGATGAGGGGTTTGTGACGGTTCACAGCATGCTGGACCAGCAGCTGAAACAGACGCTAGCTTTCAGAGACGGACAGCTACTGCAGGACTTTGAAGGTATGAAAAAGTGGAAAAGTGGAAAGTCGAACCCAAGGGTGGAACATTTCTGGTGAAAAATCTACATCGTCAATAACACGTTTACAGTTGAAAAGTATTAATAAAAACCTCCAGTGTGAGGTATAAGTAAAGTATAGCACTAAAAGCAGGGACAGTGCCATTAATCAAATTTTTGTTATGATTTAAGGCTTCAATCATTTTATGAAAACTATAATTAAAATACAGGGAAACTTGTTGGAGTTGTGGTGGAACAGCAAATAGTTGTTTAGCTCAGAATTCAAACTCTCTCTCTCTCTCTCTCTCTCTCTCTCTTTAATTTAATTTGTTAATGTTTATTTTTTCTTTTGTTCATTGCTTCTGTACTTTTCACTCTTCCTGAAATGTTGAAACGAAAAAAAAGATATCAACTTACCTCTACAAGTGAAGTATATGTGCAACGCCTTCTGAAGAAAATAATCGATAACTTGTTTGTAGAAGTGTTGTGTACCTTTTCACTGTAAAATTTTCTCCTGCTTCGATTTAAAGTCAACCTAAGTTTATATACGTAATCCACCATTATGAAAATGAGATTAAACATTTATGTTTAAGAGTATAAGAGTAACTGGCCGACTGCGCTTGACAAATTCTATTGTTATTTAGCTGCAGTATAGTATACTCTTTTAAAAGAAACAGGTTACACGCATACAATGGTTGATAAAAATGCTGTACATTATAAACACAAGCTAAACCATTTAGATTCAGCTGATATAGTACAAGTGCTTGAACATTTTATTACCAACCTACAGACAGACAGCACTAGACATCCTTCTGCACACAATGCACAGTGCAATACAATCCTCCCACTTCTCACCTTAGTTTCTGAATGCCAGCAAATGTTTTTTATTTTTATGAAAAATTTCTACAAACTACTGAATAAATATAATAATTAAATTTTTCTTACCAATACGCCTCCCCTGTCCACACCTCACTGGTATTAATGCACTAGTGTGAAATGGACATTTATGTTTATGGATTTAGCAGACGCTTTTACCAAAGTCTAAAAAGCGTCTTACATTTGACAGTATGAACACTTTTTTTTGTCAGTTCCGGCTTTCCCTGGGATTAGAACCCACAACCTTTACATTGTTAGCACAAATCTCTACCGATTGAGGCATAGGAAAGCTCAGGAAATGTATGTAAACATGTTTATAACACATGATTCATATATATTATAACACTGGGACTGGAACCAGGAGCTTCTCGATGGTTCCTGTTATGTGCTGTGTCGTGTTCCTGCAAATGGAAAACCTTAATAGAAACTGAGCGGTTTCTAAACTTTTTCCTCACTTTTTTTTTCAGGTAAGGTGGTGGTTGCCTCTTCAAAGGCTGTTTATATTCTGGTGCCTCTTCCGCTGGAGCAACAGATCCAGGATCTGCTGGCTAGCCATCGGGTGGAGGAAGCCTTGACCCTCACTGAGGCAGCACAGAGAAACATTCCCAAAGAAAAATACCAGGTAGAGCCATCTCTGATCAGTCACGAGAAAACATGGCATTAATGCCACGCCTGATGCTTGGTGTTTTAGATTGTGGTGTAAATTCATTCCATCAGTCCACAGGGATCTGGTGATTCAAACTACAAAATACAACACGGAAATTAGGTTCCCAGCATACTGTTTAAAATTGAATTTAGGTTTTTGCATTTCATGCACGATTTTAACATGCGGTTTAATTGCAAAACATTAATATATTTCAAAACTATACTTGTTAGTGACTCCTTTTACATCATCTATGGTGAACAGGCGTACATTATTTTATTTATTTATTTATTTATTTATTTATTTTTTTGCCAGCAGTCGCAGGCAATCATGTCTGACCAATCACAACGCAGCTTGTTGCTAGGGCTGCAACAAACTGTAAACATTCTGGTGGAACAATTGGATAAAAACAGCTAATTTTATGGCAAAAAGACAAGCACGAGTACGAAAGCGGTATGTGATAGAGGAAACCTATTGAATGGAAAGCGTAACCTAACACCTTTTTAGCCCGTCAGCCACTATCATTATAATGTATTCGGCTAAAGTCCTACTGATGTGATAAAACAAAACATGAGGGGTTTATCACGCAATAAACTGTTTTGATGCAGAATTTTGTCAAAATGTTTGATTACCAACATTTTAAAGCCCCTGATTGTGCCTCCCAAACCTACGATTCTTAAGGGTCTGAAGTATGAATGTTTCTGTTGCACTGCAAATGCCATCTTCAATATTTCCTCGACTAAGACAAAGAGCACTCTTCAGAAAACATCTGAATCACAATTTGGATCGGGGTGTAAAGGCCTTTACTATGTTTTTTTTATTTATTTATTTATTTTTTAAACAATTTTTTAAATTGTATTGTTACTTATTTCTCTGGAAGTTCTTTAAAAATTACTATGTAGACAGAAACATTTATTGTTATAAATAAGCATGTAACAAAAATAATAATCACATCAGTTTTAAAGTGAATCAGAACATCTCAAGTTAACACCGATAGTGGCACACAGACCCATTCAGTGAAAGGTTGAGCTTTTTCCACATAGATCATCTCACGAGGGATGCTTCTCTTGCAGGTTTTGCACAGAAGAATTCTTCAGCAGGCAGGATTCATCCAGTTTGGCCAGCTTCAGTTTTCAGAAGCCAAGGAACATTTCAGGTGAGGAGCATTGGCTAATGCTGTGGGGCCCAGATGTTTCTCAGGACACATGAGCACAGTTATCTTCTCCATTAATCCCCTCATATCCCCCTCGTGCTATGAGCGAGTTATGCTAATGAGCGGAGAACAGAGACTTGTCTACAGTGAAGATACCCTTCTGTGTCCAGCTTGCTATTTTAAGCGTGCTAAATGTGTCTTGTGGGAAGATTTAATCACACTTTGAAACAGATGCTGAAATACCCCTGATGTGAAACTATTGTGGTGAGGATTAAAAGCTGATAAGTTAAACTCCACAATGCTTTAGTATATTGAGAGTGAAATTGATCGTAGTACGGAAACACCAGGATCAACGCACTGCTGCGTCGTGCTCCCAAGGTATTTAGACTGAGGATAGGCGAACTAGCCGACGTGCAAAGTCCAAATATATAGTGCACGGCTAAGCATTGATTATTCTGTTCATGCCATGGTCATTTGTCAGCACAAAAATGTTTAAATTATTATTAATAGTTATGGCTGTAATAAATGAATGGAATTAAAGTTATTTTAGTCAGTTTACGCTAGCTCACAAATGACAACAAATAGTGCCTTGGATTCTTTAATTTTGGATGTGGATCCCCTTAACTGTTACCCCAATGTCCATACCTTTACCATAGATTTAGTTATAACAGCTACTGTGCCTCTGATATGTTTCATTTATTTTGTGTAATTTTGTTATTAGCATATAGATAGAACATGTAGGAAAACAATGTTGGCGTTCGCGCTAATCATGAAGCAGGTGAAACTGCTGGGTTTGAGGGTATGTCGGAATGCGTTTTATTCCCTCCTGCATTTGTGAAAGTGATCTTAAGAGATGCCGCATCTGTCCAAATCCACAAAACCAGTGATAACATATACCGTATTTATAAGACACACCCAATTTTAAATGAGGAAGATCTAGAATAAAAGATTCTGAACCAAATACTGTAGTAAAATATTTTATATCAACTGTGTAAAAGTTTACAGCAGTTTAAGAACAATTATATGCCAAACATGAACAGTCAGTAAACAGTAAAAGTAACAAAAAAAGGCTGTAATGTTTGTATTTGAACCCCAATAATTCCTCTTCATCACTGCTATCAGGCTCCGGAGTGTGATGGGAATTTTCCTATATAATACTACCATCTAGTGGTCATTTAGAGAAATGTAATTTGAGAAACTTTTAAGAGCACACGTCATACTTCAGTCCCGCCCCTTGAGGCTCGAGGTTCTTCTTCCAATGCGGATAACACATGTGTAGGAAATGCGTTGAGACTGCTAAATCTATACAATAAATAGCTGCATTTGCTGTGTTCTCTCTCAAACGGTCTCCAGTGTTTATCATCAATTGAGAAGGTATATTTTTACCATAAAAGGAGCTAGGCCGAAGCCACGGCCTCTCTTACGCCTCCCCTACGGCCGTAAACGCCCTCCACTCCGCTCTGCATTCGCCATATAAGACGCACCAACTTTCCCCCCTCAGTTTTGGGGAAGTAAAAGTGTGTCTTATACGGCGAAAAATACGGTAATGTACGTCGGGACTGAAGCTGTGTTTTAGCCTCTATTCCCCGCAGCATAGTGACCGAGGACAGCGCATTGATACAAATGAGTGAATAACGTAAACTGGACTACCTGTGCAGTTCGAAATTAATCAAGACCTGCCAGCCAATCAGAATCGAGTATTCAGACAGACCATGGCATAAGGTTCCTATTACCTAATTTTTGTAGAGATAAAACTACAAATGTGCAGTACTCCATATAAGACTGGAGTATACCACGATGGTGGCCCTTACTTTCTGAGTTTGTCCGTTGCTACCAAACATGATTCACAATTGTTCTTTTCGTAAATGCTGCGACGCGAAAGTATTTGCTTTCATTCCTGCAAATCATTTAACATCTAGTAGATACAGCTGAGTTTGACTACTTGTTGGATTTTCATCAACAGTGGAAATTATAAGTAAAGGCCTCTACACATTGATCCGAATTGAGGTTCTTACGAATCTTTAGATGCTTCTCAACAGGGTGCTCTTCATCTGGGTCAAGGAAATATTGATGCAATGACATTCCCTGCCTGAAGATGGTGTTTACACTACAACAGATGGACTCCACACAGGGAAAACAGGAAAGAAGAAGAAGAAGAAGAAAACAACAAAGAAGAAATCAAAGAACACATGGAAAAAATCCTGGATGTCGAGCAGTTTGAGAGCCATCAAGCGGCTCTTTTATGTCCTACTGATGTGATCAAAAGAGGCCGCTTTCATTGGTCCTTCCCTGACATGGCTGTGTAAAACTGCTTTTTGTTGACACCACTTGTTCGGTCAGATGTATGAGCTTCTGTTGGTGCCCATGGTGTTTTGTTGCATGAAAATTCAAATAGATGACTTAACATTGCACGTTATTTCTTATTAGACCAGAAAGTGGAATTATTAAAGCAGAGAAGCGTTCGCACAATCCTCCACTTCTACACTGCTCTCTGAATCCCAACCACTCTGTCATTCAATTACACATGAGAGAAAACGAACAGTTAGTTACACCAATCTCCTTTATCCTGTGCCATTCCCCTGGGTTTTTAAAAAATAAAGTGTGAAAACACCTGCTGAGTCTCAGGGGTGTTGTGACTCTTTAAGTAAACATTACATAGTAGAAATAATTGAATATTTTGAACCTATTTTGTTCGTAATAAGTAATTATATAATCAATTTGGAATCAATTGTAATAAATTACAGTCAACTTTATCAATAATACACACAATCAATAATTACGTTGTAATAACTTGTAAAGCAAACATTGTTATGCATGTTTTGCTTCTCCTCCAGAACTACAACCACCAAACATTGCAAAGACATCCAATCTGGTCTGACGTGGGTCACTATATATTTTCAGACTTGTACCAATGAAGGAATTCTGGGAAATTTTCCATTGACTTAACATGGAACTTCAAACTGATCACACTTCTAGAGGTTATCCATCTTTGCAAGTACATATCAAGCATTGTACAAAAGTATTTGAACCCAAGGCTCTAGGGCAGGAGTGCTCATTACGTCGATCGGTCGATCGCAGAGGTGCTACTGGTCGATTGCGGCGTGAAATTGAAACAATATCAGCCGATCATCCATCCCGTCACAGTTCAGTAAAGTCAGCTGCAGATTCACGGATTTGGTTTTCTCATATCAATAGCTCGAGACCAGAATGTTCTTAGTAAACAAATAATACTTATTTTTAATCTGTGTTATGTAGCGGACAAACTACAAAACTTTTTTTATCAAAACAAGTTTCCCTCGGCATTCGCAGAAACACATTACCGTCTATGAGCAACCCGCTGACATGAAATCACTTAGGGACCGTCTGCAAATGACCAGATCCAAAATATGTTTTACCCAGAATATGCTTCATAACTTCATTCTAAATTACTCTATTACAACCAAAATCAAGCAACACGCCACTCCTCACCTGCATATTGTACTGCACGACTCAGTT